CCATTGAGATGATATGATTATGTTAAGATTTGCATTCATATGGATATTGGACTCCTGCTGTTCACCTCGGCCTGCTACAGGACTCCTGGAGAATTCCCATTGGTTGGGGAAGTACAGTAGGAGGGAATTCCGGGGGAGGACCTTCCTCTGGGATTCCGGGAGAAGGCCGCGTGGGTCAATGGGGATTCTTCCCGGGGCATTGGCGGCAGTTTCAAAAAATAAAGTTTGTTCCTGCTTGAGTGGCTCGTGATTTTGTGCCTAGCCAGACTACGGCACCTACCTAAAAAAAAAAAAAAGATTGGGGATGTAGCTCAGTGGTAGAGCACCCTTAGGTTCAATCTCTAGTCTCTCTGCCCTACAAAAAAAAAAAAAAAAAAAAAGACACAAATTATTACCTGATGGGTGGCCAGGCACGATGACATATATCTGTAATCCCATTTACTTCAGAAGTTTGAGGTCAGCCTGGCCAATTTAGCGAGATCCTGTCTCAAAATAATAAAAGGGCTGGGGGGGTAGCTTACTGGTAGAGTGCCCCCGGGTTTAATCCCCAGTATTGTACAAAGAAAAAAACATAAAGAAAGGGTAGAGGATGGGTAATTTTTTTCTGATTTCTTAATATAAATTTTTAAAATTTTTTTTGGCTGTACACAATATCTTTATGTGGTGCTGAGGATTGAACCTAGGGCCTCACACATGCTAGGCGAGCGCTCTACCACTGAGCCACAACCCCAGCCCTTAACATAATTTTTAACCCAGAAATTTCAATTCTAGGAATTTGTCCTAAAAGAATAAGACAAACATCGTATAATATACTGTGTCCAATGATGCTGGAGTATATGTTTATGGCCATACACAGGAATACTATGCAGCAGTTAAAATTATATATTCATTGACATGAAAATATATTCAAGCACTGGGAATGTAGTTCAGTGGTAGAGTTCAATCCCTAGTACTCATCACCCTAAAAAAGTTCAAGTGAAAAGGAGTTTGTAACTATAAACACATGCATGTGCACATACTTCTGTATTCATTAACAAAAAGAAAAACATACATCCGAGCATGCACAGGGTGCAGGAAGGGAGTAAGATATATGAAATATTGACTTAACTCTGGGTAGTGAATTTTTAGAATTATTATTCCTTACCTTCTACCAATATTTCACTTTTCTACTATGGATTCCTAATATTGAAGAAAATTACTTGGGGGCAGAGTGGCACCTTGGGACCAAAGACTTTATCACCATGCCCTTAAGGAAGGCAGTATGTGTGTTTGGGGATGGTAGTGGCAGAGCTTCCGGGAGTGTGTTTGAAAGCACATCCTTTCAAGAACTATGTATTGGGGCTGGGGATGTGGCTCAAGCGGTCTGGCATGCGTGCGGCCCAGGTTCGGTCCTCAGCACCACATACAAAGATGTTGTGTCCGCTGAAAACTAAAAAATATTGAAATTCCCCCTCTCTCTCTCTTTAAAAAAAAAAAATGGTTGATACTACCACCACCCCACACCCCAGCCAACCTATAGGACAGTGTCCGCCATCATTTAAAAAAAAAAAAAAGAACTATGTATTGCTGCTTCTGGCACTTTCCTAAGTGTGTTCTGTTCTGTCAACAGTATCACAAATGTCACAGAAAAGGGTTCACTGTCCTTGTTTTGAGAAATGCTAGGTTAAGACATAAGTAGTATAAAACTTAGAATGTTTGTTATGCAGTCCCAGGAGGAAAGGACATGGGACACACACTATTCAAGCCACAGACCCTTTGTTTGCAACCCATTAAAAAGTAACAAGACTGCTGGGTGAGGTGGTGCTCACCTATAATCCCAGCAGTTTGGGAGGTTGAGGCAGGAAGATTGTGAGTTCAAAGCCAGCCTCAGCAATAGCAAGGCACTAAGCAACTTAGTGAGACCCTGTGTCTAAATAAAATACAAAATAGGGCTGGGGATGTGGCACAGTGATAGAATCCCTCCGAGTTCAATCCCCACTACCAAAAAAAAAGGTAACAGGCTTTCTACTTAACACACTTGAGGAATGCTAATGTTTACCCAAAGAATGAAGATTATTATGCCACATATTTCTATCCAGGATCTGAGGGCTTCTGGCCGTCTTCCTTGCATGCAAACCCCAATACTGCAAAAAGGGAAAACAAAACAAAAACCCAAATCATCACCATCATCACCATATAAACCTGTTTCTCCATCCATCAGTGGGCACAGAAATCAGCATGATGWTCACGATCCTCCCCCTTTTTCTAGTGTAACTCTCAAATCACATAGTAAGGCTAAGAACTGCTTGTGAAATTTTTGTATGTGCACTTATAATTTCATAATATGTGGGTGTTTGCATTGGTCACAACATAAAATATATTTATTACTATGAGTTGCAATAAAAAATTTGAAAGCCACTGAATTAAAGAGATGAAATTTATTGGTAAATAAAGAGAATCAACACCTATACCAACACACCCCAAAATCTACCTTTTAATTAAGTAAATTAAAAGAAGAAAATCATCAAAGCAATATAGTTAGCTAGATCTCCAACTCACAAGTGAGTTAAGTACCAAAAGTTTGAAAAAAAAAAGTCAGAGAAACTGTTAATAAAGAGAATGGGACCCAATTAGTTCACAAAAGCCAATTTAAACAGTGGGACTTATTAGCTACAGTACTGTTATTACAAACAACTTTCTCCATTTTGCTTGTTTGTGTTGGAGGTTCACTGTATCTTGAAAGAAACATTCTCCCCACACCCACGCCTAGGTCTCATCACTAAGCACATCCTCCCAGCACAAACAACCATCATTCCACTTGGCAGTCCCCAAGTTGTGCTTAGGACTTCAGAGAAGGAAAAGATCAGAGATTCCATAGCTGTAACTGAGGTAGAATATGGGGCTCCCAAGAACACCTTCCAGATGACCCAGGTCTATTTCTCTTCCACCCCAACCCCAGCTCTGGCACAAGGTCAAGCATGAGAAAGATACTTACTCACAAATTGTATATGATTTTTATCTTTATTGATTTTTAAAAATATCTTTGTTTTATTTATTTATTTATGTATGTGGTACTGAGGATTGAACCTAGTGCCTCACACATGTGAGGCAAGCACTCAACAACTGAGCTGCAACCCCAGCCCATCAGTGGTAGAGTGCTTGCCTAGCATGCGAGAGGCCCTACATTCAGTCCCCAGTACGAAACAAAAAGGGGAAACGTGGTGTGTGTGTGTGAGAGAGAGAGAGAGAGAGAGAGAGAGAGAGAAAGAACAAAAAGAACCATGGTTTATTGCACCTTTTATTGGGTCCCAAACTACTACAATTTAAAAAAGAAAAATCACTAGTTTTAATGCTGCTAACTTGCTACTGATATAATCAACAGCTACTTTTATCACCTGACCATTTTTTTCATAAACTGTTTAGACATAAAGGTTCTATCACCAACATGCGGCTTTGCATCAAGGAAGACATGTCAGTGCCTAGGGAACGCTGGCCTGCTGTATTTCTCCTTAAATACAGAAACTTATGGTAAAAAAAAATGCTACTCTCTAGCTTAATACTCTGATCTTACCAATTTCATTATGTCCTGGAAGATTATTTAGAGTTTTTCTGAAGAGTAAACATCATGGAAAGGTCAGTGAAAGCTGCTCTTAAAAGGCCCCTAAAATACTCCATCAGCTTCCAGCGTCATTCATCTGGGCAGAATACAAACTTCCATTCCAAACCAGACTAACCCATCGTGGCACAAATTTAAACCAAGGTTCTAAATTCTCAAGTGAAATAGGATGATGCCCAGTGGAAACCAGGTGCCAGTAGAGTGCAGACCCAGTAAACCCCCTGGGCTTTTTTGGCTGTGGCAGCTGCTTGATCTCAATACTCACTGGCCCAGCCCTACAAGCCCCGGGGAGAGGGTCATGGCTTCAGGAAGGGTGCTCTGTGCAACCCCAGCCTGAGGGAGAGTTGGTACAATCACCTAGCCCTTTAGTTCTCACCTGACCACACAGCCTCTGATCTGGTCACCTAGTAGGCATAGCAGCATCAGTTCACATGGCAGGCACCACGTCCCATTCCAGGACTTTTAAAGTCACAGGAAAACTGGTTGTGATAGTTATATTGCATCCCAGGCCCTCCAAGTGGTAGACATTTAGATTAATAGCTGACAGACACCCAATTTTTCCAGTTTTACCGCTCACTTTTATGTACCAGAACAAGTTTGGAAGGTTAAAGCAAGGAAAGGGTGAGAAATCATTTCAGCATATACTTTTCAGGTTCTGCCAGACAACCTTTTATTACATCATAAAAGCAACACTAGGCACTAGATCTTGCAAAATATGTTCTGACCAACTCTAAACTTTCTGAAATTAAAACTGCATAACCACATCTGTAATATTTTTAATGAACAAAAAGTTAAATACAAACTTTCATATGCAAAATAGATTATTATATAACCCAGAGCCAAGTGCTACGTCTTCTTCCACAGATCTGAATGGGGTGGAGTGGGGGATGTTAATTTTAATGAGTAAAAAACTGCATTTTAGCTTTAAAAAAAAAAAAAACTTTGAGGAAAAACAGAGCTTTAAACTGAATACTGTCCTGTGACATGGAGAGCTCTGGCCAACCCTTACTGAGGTTTATATTCAAACACATATAGGATGAAAATGAAGATTTAGGGTCTATAGTTACTTTGAATCCAGTTTCAAGAGTCAACCAAGTCACCTCAATTCCAGAAAGGGAAGTGTCTCTAAGATGACCATGACACTCTTCTGAAGATACATGGATGGCCAGACCTCCTCGGCCACACTGCTACTTCTCCACAACACTGTGCCGACGCTGGAGTGTCATATTTCCTCTGAAAGCCATCGGCCCCGACAACACAGCATTTTTGTTTATCCTGGCATTTTCCAGCCTCAAAAATGGGGAGACCCCTTACTTCAAGTTGGCAGTTACTGCTCCAGCAATAGAAAAGTTAATTAACACTTCCTTCCTCTCCCCACTGATGTCCCTCCTGATCTTCAGCAGGGAGTGGCAGTTTGATTAACATTCCTTTCAGAAATAAATAGTTCAAACAAGTAATTTAGAGTTAACTGTAAAAGAGCAGTGGAAAACGGCCACTGCCCAATATTTGCAAATGAGTGAGCAAATGAATGCACGTGAACAAACACACAGAAAAGAAAAAAAAAATTCATAGAATAAATCCTGCATTTCCCACATTCATAGGGAAAGAACTCTTTAAAACAAAAAACATAATAGTTAGCGTTTGTTCTTGTGTGGGTTGAACAGTCCAGGGCTCTGAGCAGGCACAGCCTTACAGACAGGGTTGCAAGCAGCCCCTCCACACCCCAAGTCAGGACTGTAGTGCAGCGAGGGGCCTCCATGCACTTTTGACAGCTCAGTACCTGTGAGAGAACAGAAATGATGCAGGGACTTTTTAACCCACAATGCATGAGGTATATGGAAACGTCCGTGAAAGAACCACCAGCAGCTAGAGGGAGCAGGCGGGGCTTTCTCACAGCAACTGCTGATGAAGGATTTCCCACACCATCTTCTTCCGGAAGAGAGGCATCTGGTGCTGCAAAAAATCCCACAAACAATGCACTCAGTTACACACTGATGAGAGCAGCATCACAACCTGTAGGTGTCATCATGTAAACGAAGTGGGCTGTCCATGTCCTTATGTCAGCCTTGACATTTTTACGTCATAGCATAAACCTTACAAAGCATAATGTTCATAATTATGGGTTTGGACCTCAGCATTGGGGGAAAAAAATTCATGTGTATCAAAACCAGAAATGTCCAAGAGACAACAAGCAACTTTTCTATTTAAATGTACTTTTTTTTTTTTAAATGTACTTTTGAAACGTTCTATGGTGAACATTATTTGCTTTTATATGAAAAAAGTGGCCTTTATTTATGTAAGGAAAATTTTGATCTACAAATTCCTGTTTTATACACCGCCAATTCTGTTAAAAAAAAAAAAAGTTTCTTCCCTTGAAATCTCAAGTTCAGAGAATAATCAACTCCTTGCTAAATTTAGCAGCATCAAAAAATGAAATGTAGCTGGGTACAGTGGGGCACACCTATAATCCCAGCCATTAGGGAGGCTGACGTAGGGAGATCACCAAGTTGGAGGCCAGTCTCAGCAACTTACTGGGACCCTATCTCAAAATAAGAAGTAGTAGAGCGCCCCTGGGTTCAATCCCTAGTACTAAACCAAAAAAAAAAAAAAAAAAAACAAAAACAGAGGATGTTTTGCTTAATGATACTGCTTTAACTGACAATAACTGCATAGGCTATTTTTTAAAAATATTTATTTATTTTTTTAGTTTTCTGCAGACACAACATCTTTATTTGTATGTGGTGCTGAGGATTGAACTGGGGCCACAGGCATGCCAGGCGAGCGTGCTACCACTTGAGCCACATCCCCAGCCCCTGCATAGGCCAATTTTTGAAGCAGCAAAACAAAAGACAACACCAAAATAACCTGTAACTCAACTGCCTACCCCCTACCTTCTGATGAATTAGAAGTTTACACCCTTAATGTACTATTATAAATAGTTGGGTACATAACTTTATTATAAATTACTAGTGACTTCCTGATATGGGGTGGGAAGTCTTAATTTTTTTTTTTTTTGGTACTAGGAATCAAACCTAGAAACCTGGAGGCACTTAACCACTGAGCCACATCCCCCGCCCTTTTTTTGTGTTTTTTTTTTTTCAAACAGGGTCTTACTAAGTTGCTTAAGGCCTTACCTAGTTGCTGAGGCTGACTTTGAACTTGTGATTCCCCTGCCTTAGCCTCCTGAGCTGCTGGGATATGCCACTTCACCTGGCTATTAATTTTTTTGAATAGTCAAAACATAGAATAAAAAACTGTACATTCATTCTTAGTCAAACTGTGCCTTTCCTTTAGACTGCAATTGTATGAATTCAGCAATTGTATGAACCCTGGTTACTTCATGATGTGCCAAAGTTTTGTTTGGCAAACATCAAATTGAGGTCTGCTGAAGAGAAATATATTTTAAAGCAGGTAATACTTGTTTGTAAAAAGGTCCAGCATCCACCATTAGAAACAGAAATTCTCAAGAGTTCCCAATATACTTGAATTTTCACTCAAATGTAGAAGCATGGGGAACCCAAACTAACCAGAACAGAAAGAACAGCAGTATTCATGGTATGTCTTAGACCTCAGGCTTATATTTTCACAAGGCCTAATTTTTCCTTTTTATTACATATTCTCACATGCCTCCCTCTTTAGCTAAAAATACATATGAACCAGTGAACAATGAAGTTCAGAAACATGAAAATTATCCCATTCTTCACCAGAGACTAGGATAAACCTGAGAACAGATGCTAGGACAAACTCTGATTCTGGCAAGAGCAGAACTATGCCCAAGGGTTACTGCAATAACACTATAGCAGAGCAACTACTATAATTGAGGGCTTAATGTGTGCCAGGCACTGATTAGCAAAGTGCTCTACCTTGTACAGTAACAAGGAAGTGGATAAGGAAGGATCTTTACTCACCTGAGTAAATGTGATAGGTTTGTCCCTAGAAATATAATCTGCATATTTACAAGTAAACATTCCACAATCACTCCCATTCAACTGTTGAGGAATCTCCTAAAATTACAAAAACAAAGAGAGGAAGTGGTAAAGTATCGCCAAATACAACAACTTCCTTAGGTTTTTTTCTAAATATCTAAATATTGTGGAAAACAGTATTATAAAGGTAAATGTTAAATCTAATATTGCACAAACACACAGACACACACACACTAACACAATTAGCTTTACTCATAAAAATCCTAATCATGACATAAGAGCATGGGACCCCATGGAAAATGTTTTTTAGGAGAAAGGAGAAAAGCAAAGTAAGAGTTCCATCTCTTAGCTCTCATTCAAAGAAACTAAACTGAGGGCTGAGGGTACAGCTGAGTGATATGACAGAGCACTTGCCTAGTTACTTAAGGTCCTGATTCCATCCCCAGCACTTAGAAAAATAAAAGAAATGAAACCAAACTGGAAGGTGTATTACTAGGAACAGGAATACTAGTCAGAATTATTTCAGAAAGTTATAACTTTAAAAAAGGTTATGTGTAGGTTAATCAAAGAGACACTTAAAATGTAACTAACCTACTTGGAAATTGCAGTTTATCTTCTCATCCTAGCCAGGAAAACAGGCCTACTGCTTTGGACCCCTATCAAGAGGAACAGACACAAAGCACCAATAAAAAATAAGGGGTTGAGGGTGGGGAGAAAGAGGGACAAGTAAAAAAGCCTCTGATAAGCTTTAACCCATTGCAATCTGTCCCTTAAGCAGAAACAGAACTTGCTGCAAGCATCACAATGCCTGACAGAGTAGTGCACACCAGTAATCTCAGTCACTTGGGAGGCTAAGACAGGAGGACTGAGCCAAGTTCAAGCCAGCCTTGGCAACTTAGTAAGATCCTGTCTCAAAAAAACAACAATTCCCCCCCCCCCAAAAAAAAAAAAAAAAAACAGGGAGAGGGGTTGATTGAGTGAGGATACAGGAATATTGCTCAATGATAAAGTGCCCCTGGGTGCAATCTCCAGTACCTGGGGGGATGGGGGAGGAAGGGGAAAAGAGCATCATAAGCCAAAGGTGGCAGATTTCAAACCCACAGGAGGTARGTTTACATATCCCCAGGGCCTATTTTATCCTAATCTTGACCAACTCTTTATACACTTGGGCTGTTAGTCATAGAGTACACGATAGTAAGACACTGATTCCACTGCTAGAAAACAAACACACTCAATGACAAAAGCGCCATTTTTTATTCACAGAAATACAGTTGATTGCTGTAAAAAGAAAAGACAGAACATGCACACATCCCATACATATGCTAGGTGCCTCATACTTTTCTCCCTGGGCTGGCATCTCTCAGAGGACACAGAACTACAGACTCCAATCTACAAAGGAAGAGTATTTGTTTTTTTAAATTACATTTTCCACACCAGAACACATTATTGATCCTATTTGACTCATACCTGTCCTCTCCTCAGGAAATTTCAAGGCTCAACTTCCAAATGATTTAATTTGGAAATGGGAATGCTTTTGTATGAAAATAGTGGAGTCATCATATACAGGTTAGGACTAAAATGGAATTCATGTGGCTAACTTTAAAGCATAGTTATTAGGATTCAAAGAGGGACACATTTTCAAATCTTGAATTGGAAGGAGATTCAGCATGCTTGACTCTTGAAAATCCATGGCATGAGACCCTAAACCCAAATAAACAAATCCCCAGATAAATTTTGGACAACAACTTTAAACTTTCATTAGTACTGACTAAGAAAAGTAACTGACTTAGATTTATTTATTTTTTTGTTTTTCTATTTTTTTTTTTTACTGGGGATTGAACTCAGGGGCACTCAATCACTGAGCCACATCTCCAGCTCTATTTTGTATTTTATTTAGAGACAGGGTCTCACTGATTGTTTAGCACCTCGCTTTTGCTGAGGCTGGCTTTGAACTCACAATCTTCCTGCCTCAACCTCCCAAACTGCTGGGATTATAGGTGTGTGCCACCGCACCCAGCTTGTTTTTCTAATCTGAGATGTGCTTGTGTGTGTGTGTGTGTGTGTGTGTGTGTGTGCGCGCGCGCGCGTGCACGCACACACACTATCTATATTTCAATTTGACATGACTACAGCCATCTTGAGTCATAACTGCCCCTGAGTAACTCTCAGTTTTCCTCACTTGTCTCCCAGCATACTTCAAATAGACCAAACAGTAGAGTAATACGTGGAGTTTTACAGCCAGACTCTGGCAGAGTAAGTGAAAGCAATGCATCTAAAGTCTTTCATAGTCACTTGAGATAAACATGATTATCTTGGCTTGAATGAAGTCATCCACTTCCCAACTACTTTATAAATTATTCTGACCCAAATCGTGGATATCTACTGGTCTTGCTGACACCTAGGACCATGCTTCTGTCAGTAAGTATCCAATTACTAGCACTCTGCAATCCTGGATATATCTACCTCTTTCTTGGATCTCATGGTACCTTGGGACTGGTTCTCATATAGTGGAACTGGGTTTTTCCAAAAACCAGTTTTAATAGATTTAATAGATTTGGAGCAAGATAGTCTTAGATAAAGACTAAGAAGGAACTATTTTGGTTAAATAAATGGCTGAAGATTTGGAACTAGGTCATTCTTAAGATCTATACTTTAGGACTGGGGGTGTAGCTCAGTGGTGGAGTGTGTGCTTAGCACTCATGAGACCCTGAGTTCAATTCCCAGTACCACACACACACACACACACACACACACACACACAAAAAGATATATATTTAGGCGGCTGGGGTATGGCTCGGCTATAGAGCACTTGCCTCCCACGTAAGAGGCACTGGGTTTGATCCTCAGCACCACATAAAAGTAAATAAACAAAATAAAGATACTGTGTCCATATGTAACTAAAAAATATTTTTTTWAAAAAAGATGTATATTTAGGGGCTGGGGATGTGGCTCAAGCGGTAGCGCGCTCGCCTGGCATGCGTGCGGCCCGGGTTCGATCCTCAGCACCACATACCAACAAAGATGTTGTGTCCGCCGAGAACTAAAAAATAAATATTAAAAATTCTCTCTCTCTCTCCTCTCTCACTCTCTCTTTAAAAAAAAAAAAAAAATGTATATTTAGGAGAATGCATGTTATGCATGCTTAAAGCAGTGAGTGAAGTGAGGGTAAGAAAGAAGCCAAGACTGAATAAAATGATACTGTCAGTAAATGAAACAAAGTAGGCCAAATATAGATAAATATCACTTACATGTGGCTTCATGCTGTAGTGGGTCCACTCTAAAAGATTTAGATCAATATTTCTTTTGGTCTTACTTTCATCCTGTAAATACTGACTAAAGAAAACAAAAACAGCAAAGAATGAATATATCAATGAATCCCTAGGAAAATGACCATTGTGACAAAGGATTTTGTGATGTTTAACAGATATGCCATTCTCAATCCCAGTTACATTAGATTTTTAAAAATGTGACTGCTTTTGTGTCTTTAATTTTCTAACAAAAATTGTACATGAAAAGACCATATAATAACCACTCCAGAAATAATTACTATTACCAAATTGTTGTAATGTACCTGCATACACACATTTTTGTTTGCTTGTTTATTTATCTGGGTACTGGGGATTGACCTAGGGGTGTTCTACTAACAAGCTACATCCCTGGCCCTTTATATTTTTTAAACAGTGTCTTACTCTAAGTTGCCCAAGGTAAACTTGAATTTGCGATCCTTTTGCTTCAGCTTCCCAAATCACTGAGATTATAGGCATGCTCTACTGCACCTGGCTATAGACACAATTTTAAAACACACATTTTATTCTCAGTGGTGCACACCTATAATCCCAGCAACTTGGCAGTTGAGGCAGGAGGATCAAAAGTTGGAGGCCAGCTCAGCAACTTAGCAAATCTCTCTTCAATTTAGCAAGACCCTGTCTTAAAAATATAAGAAGGATTGGGGATGGGATGTAGCTCAGTGTAAAGCACCTCTGGGGTTCAATCCCAGGTACCATTAAAGAAAAAAAAAAAAAAAGCCCTCATTTAACAACTTGCTTTTTCTCAGTTCAAAATCAATATGACATAAGATACATGTCCTGAACTCTTGAGAAATTAAAAGGCAAGAAGACTGTTCTGAATTAACGGAGAGACTAAAAAAGACATTAAAAACATGTCTGAACCCTGATTGGCTCTTGGACTGATGGGAGGACACAAAGGATACCTGGCTCAGTGGTAGATCACTTGCTTAGCATGTGTGAGGCACTGGGTTTGATACTCAGCACTGCATATAAATAAATGAATCAAATAAAGGTCCGTCAACATTTTTAAAAAAAATTAAAAAAAAAAAGATACCTGGAGGTATCAGAATATGGACCATATATTACATATTAATGATTGTTATAAGTGTGATAGTAACATTGTGATTATATAGGAGAATTTCATTATTCTTAGGAGAATATATATTTACCTACTAGGAATGATTAATTTTATCCACATCTTTAGGTTATTAAATTCAGCAACCTAAACATCAGTCCTAATCCTAAGGTGCATAGAAGGTAAGCCTGCATTAGACCAGGACATACAGTTTCAATGGGTGCAGTACTGTTCCAAACAGGGTAAAACATAGTTCCTAAGGGATAAAAATTAAAGATATTTCAGTGGGTTGTAGCCTTCCAAAACTCAACTCACTCAGACTTAATCATTAGTATAATTTTTTCTTATTATGGAAAAATTAAATTAAAATTTTCTCCTGGTGGGTAAGATAATGAAAAAAAGATTGAGAAAAATTGGACTAGGTGCATCAGGAAACAAAAACTATATGACTATAGTATGACTATAAAAAAGTATGGACTTTTTTTTTTTCTTTTTGGTATCCTGTTATAAGCAGAAAACAAAACTGTACTGTGTGATTTCAGTAAGCAGTAATAAGCAGTTCCTATGTATGCAATAATATATTAGTACATGTGTTTATGCACTCACAAATACATATGCACATTCTATATTTTACATAGGAAAGACTAGAAGGATTATATATAATTTGGTGTATCTTCTGATTTTTAAAAATTTCTTTTTTGTTCAAGATAAACAATCATAAATATAAAGATCATTTTTTTTTTTAAACTGGGAATTGAATTCAGGGCCTCATGTGTGCTAAGCAAGTGCTCTACCACTGAGCTATAGCCTCAGTGCTTTCTTATTTTTAAATGGGGTGTTGCTGTGGCTGTCCTCAAACTTGTGATCCTCCTACCTCAATCTTGGGCCACTGGGATTACAGGCGTGCAACACCATTCCCAGTTGAAAAGATCTTGCACAATAAAACAAATTGCAGKGGGGAGATAAATGAACTAATTATGGTTAAGAACAACTTTTCTTTGTAAGATTCATTTAAAAAGTTAATTCATTCTTACCAAGGTAAAAGAAGGGAGCCTGCAGGCTGGGGTTTTGGCTCAGTGGTAGAGTGCTTGCCTAGCATGTGTGAGACACTGGGTTTGATCCTCAGTACCACATAAAAATAAATAAACAAAGGTACTGTGTTCATCTACAACTAAAAAAAAAAAAAAAAAAAAAAAAAGGAGCTTGCATTTGTTTCCAGCAAGCAGAGGAAGTTCAAAAGGGTCTTATCTGGCTAGGTACCTAGCATGGGTGAACCCCTGGTTTTTTCCTCCACTACCACACACACACACACACACAAAAAAAGTATGGTGGGGTGTGGGGCTTCTCTTCCTGATGTGCTACTTCACTTTCAAATTCATGTCACCAATTTACACAGCTAATAATTATGCTTTAAAGGCAGGTTTCTAACAATTGCTACAGGAGTACCTTCTTATCTGTGATTTTACTTTCTGTAGTTCTAGTTACCCATTATTCAAAGACATTAAATAGAAAATTTGAAAAATAAACAATCCATAAATTTAAATTGCATACTGTTCTAAGTAGCATGAAGAAATCTTACATCATCTGCTCTAGACCATCTGGCACATGAATCTTCCCTTTGCCTAGCATATTCACATTGCATATACTACCCACCTGCATTTAATAGCAGTTTTGGTTATGAGACTGGCTATCCTGGCATTTCAGGGCTTGTAGTCAAGTAACACTATTTTACTTAATAATGGTTACAAAGAGTAAGAATAATGATACACAGGAAGCTCCAGGGCAAAAAATATGGAAGGACAGATTAACTCTGATACTATGTGGCAATGCTATAGGCACATAGGAAAAAACATAGTATATGTAGGGTTCAATACTGTCTGTGGTTTCAGGCATCCACTTAGAGTTTATACCAACAGATACAGGGAGAACTACTTTCTGTATTTGAAATAGCTGCCTACAAACCACACATTATAATTTAAAAACTGCCCTTGGGTTCTATGAGATGAATCCAACTACCATGGAAAGCATAGAGACATGAGTGGATTTCATAATTTATAGAATACTCCCCAACTAATAATTCTTTGAATATCCAGAAGAATGTATCAATCCCAAAGAAATCTAATTTAAATCACAGGACTATATTAAGATATATTTTACATTATAAACACAAGATAAACTTTTTTTCAATGATGCTATTAAATACGGCTTCTCAGGTTCGATCAGCCACTGGGAAGACAGCTTTAACTGCATATTAAGGTTGCCATCCAGGCCTGGTGAGGTGGTGCATGCCTATAATCCCAGAGGTTCGACAGGTTGAGGCAGAAGGATTTCAAGTTCAAAGCCAGCCTCAGCAACTCAAGTGAGGCCCTAAGCAATTTAGTGAGACCCTGTCTCTAAAATATTTAAAAGGGGTGGCGAGGGGGGGGGGTGAGTACTTGGGATTTGGCTTAGTGGTTAAACACCTCTGGGTTCAATCCCTGATACTAAAAAAAGAAAGAGACTGCCATTCAGGGCTTACTAAAATTAAATAAAAGAGATATCAACAAAAAGGGCACAATGAGACAACAGTGAAGTTTTCTAGCCTTACTTACAGGAGAATCTCACAGATCCTGTGGCCCTTTTGTCCCATAGAATCCAGGTATTTAAGACACTTTTTTCTTAGGTCCATCACCTATAATGGAAAGATGGCAACAGGGAGAAGCTGAAATATCTTAAACATTAACAGAAACACAAAGTTTAATTCCAAACAAAAAGCATCTTTAAAAAAATAAACACATGTACAAACATGGATTAATTTAGAAACATGTTGAGTTTTTAAAAGTTATAAAATATCACAGAGATATGAGTTTAATATTATATATTTCTATTTCTAGATAAAGACCTAGAAGCTTTTTTGTTTCTTCTTCACCTTCACCTTTCTTCAACAAACCTATACCACCTTACCCATCTTATAAATGAAACTAAATATACAAATAAAATTACAAAACTTATCTCTTAGAAATGAAAGCTCCACAAGTATAAGAATCATTCTTCTAGCTTTCTAAGTTGTCCAACTTAAGAACTGATTAGGAAACTGGTGCAGTGGTACATGACTACTATTTTGAGCAACTCAGGAGGCTGAGGCAAGAAATCCAAGTTCAAGGCCAGCCTTTACCTGGGAAAGACTCTATCTCAAAATAAAAAATAAAAAGGGCTGGGGATGTGGCTCAGTGGTGGAGAGCCTCTGGGCTCACCCCTCAGTATAATAAGTGAAGGATGAAATACGTAGGGAGCTGGGCACAGTGGTACATGCCTATGAACCAAGGAAGGGGGGTTGCAAGTTGGGGCCAGCCTCAGCAACTTAGTGTAACCCTGTCTCAAAATAAAAATAAGAAATAGAAAAAGGCTGGAAATGTGACTTGGTGATAGAGTGCATGCCTATCAGGTGCAAGGACCTGGGTTCAATGCCCAGTAATGCCAGGGGAAAAAAAAAAAGAATTAAGAAAAGACTCTTTAGAGTATGACTTTCATACATATTATCGGCCTTTCACTGGACAAAGAATGACTTTCATCATTTAAGGAAACAGTTTGCATCCAAACTCCAACAATTAACCCTCTGAACTCACCACAAGGCTCCAATGTACCTTCCGATGAATAGGCACCAGAACAAGTTCTTGTTCAAAGAGATTAACCCCTTTGGTCCACCTTTTCACTGCTTGGTAACCCCCAGACTTTAATTTAGGATAGAAGAAAGTGCTGAATACATGAAGTGCTGGATAGCCTTGCTTTTTATTTCTTTCCACTAGAAGATTCATGTAAAAATTAATAACCTATAAAATACCAAAAGAATAAAAGTTGGAACATGGCAAGTATATTACTGAAACTAAGTTTCTACTTGAATTAATATGAATTAGAAAGTGAGGTGCTTGTTGGCTGGGGCTGTAGCTCAGTGGCAGAGATCTGAGGCAATGGGTTCAATCCCTAGCACCATATAAAAATAAATAAATAAAGGCATGTTGTACATCTATAACAAGAAGGAGAAAAGGAAGGAAGGAAGATGAGGTGTTTAGGAAAGGTACTAAGGGGAAGTCTATGGAAGAGGACAGAAAGAAACTGATTGGTGTAAAATGGGAAAGATTAAGAAAGAATGAAGGGCTAGAATGTATCTCAATAATAGAGCACTTGCCTAACATGCACAAGGTCCTGGGTTCAATTCCCAGAATGCAAAAAAAAAAAAAAAAAAAAATTGATTCAATTGATTCTCAGATGCACAAGAGAAAAATTACAAAGATAGCAGAAGTAGCTACCTTTGTAAGATTCAGGATGTTTTTGTTTGAAAAACAAGCAAAAAAACCCCTAAACCTTGTTTTACCAGCCTCTTATAATTGGGCACAAAACACTCATAAGAACCAAGAAGTCTGTGCAATAATGAAAAGGTGARTATAACTCTATCACATAAGATTTTCAGAAAAATTAACTATAAGCAAATTTTACAGTACAGAAATTATACCGCAATTTAAAAAATATTAACTGGAAAGAGTTGCCAAAATATTTATAGTGTATTTGAAAAATAATTTATTTTTCCTATATTTTCCAAAACAAACACATTAAATTTATAATGTAAAATAAAACATTCTAGCTTTACCAGAATGTTTACCAAGGCAGGAGGATGCCACGTTCCAGGACAGCCTTGGCAWTTTAGAGATAGTCTGTCTCAAAATAAAATTAATAAAAGGACTGGGAATGAAACTCAGATGTAGAATGTTCCTGAAGAGAAGAGAGAGGAGGAGAATGTGTTTATAGATAACTAAGCACGGGGGAGTGAAAACAAAGGCAAAGGGAAACAATGCAAGAACTAAACAGTAGAGGAAAGGAACAACTAGAAATTTGCCAAGAACAAAGAGCTATCTGTTGCTAAACATGTACGTGTTCAAGACGACAATTAGGCAACTCTTTGAAGTTATCACTTGTAATGGTTTGTATCTGTGTATCCCTCCAAAATTCATACCAAATGGGATAAGAGGTTGGACTTTAGGGGAAGTGATTAAGGTATAACAGCTCTAATCTTATGGGTAGGATTAGTGCTTTTATAAAAAAGGTTGAATGCAGACTGCCTAGTTCCTTTTGCCCTCGGCCATATGTGAGGATTCTGTGTTCCTTCCTCCCACCATCTTATAAGCAAGGGATGGGGCCCTTACCAGAAATGAATCAGAGGTGCCCTGATCTGGGACTTTCCATCTTAAAGAGCTAAAAACAATAAATTTCTACTGTTGACAGATTATCTCTGTAGTCTGTGGTGTTTTGTTGTAGCAAGATATCATTCAAGCAAGTACCTTCCATTTATTAGGGATAAYCAGGATTCATAAAAATGTCATTAAAGACTTATAAATGAAGTGGTAGATAAGGACAGATGCACAAGAGAAAAATTACAAAGATAGCAGAAGTAGCTACCTTTGTAAGATTCAGGATGTTTTTGTTTAAAAAACAAGCAAAAAAACCCTAAACCTTGTTTTACCAACCTCTTATAATTGGGCACAAATCACTTTGATTATAGATAATAGTTAACCATGATAATAGTCAAAATGGGAAGAAAAAAAGAAAGAGCTTACCTCATCATTGAGCCAGTGATAGTTCTTTAAGGTCTGGATATCTCCTCGAGTAATTCGCAATTTGAAAGCACTACTTAGGATCTCATCCGATGGGCCATGGCCTAGGGCATTACTGATTTCTTTTTCCATATCCTGAATTAGAAAGTACAAAGGTTGCTATTTTAACAGAGAACCATTAACAAATATTGAAAGTCAGACTAAAAAAAGTTTTCATCTCAGCAACATATGACACTTGAGAAAAAATATCATCAAAGACTTAGAAAATTCAAACTTAGAAAATATTCCAACTGAGCTGGGGGCATAGCTCAGTGGTAGARTGCTTGCCTAGCAAGCTTGAAGCCCTGAATTCAATTTGCAGTACACTAAAAATAAATTTTTTAAAAATTCAGACTTAGAACTACAAAGCAATCTTTATTAAAATTATATGCTTGTTGACTAGATGCCTTCATTATTTTAAAGAACCGTGTAGGCCAGGTGCAGTAATCCCAGCAACTTGGGAGGCTGAGACAGAGTTCAAAGCCAGCCTCAGCAATGGTGAGATGCTTAGCAACTCAGTTGAGACCATGTCTCTCTACAAATTAGGGATGGGAATGTGGCCTAGTGGTTGAGTGCCTCTGTATAGATAAATGCACATTTAAGCTACAAAATAGAATTTGTAAATACATTCAAAGTTATTTTCATCCTAATGATTTTTCTTTTTTTTTAAATTTTTTTAGTTGAACATGGGCACAGTACCTTTATTTTACTTAATTTATTTATTTTATGTGGTGCTGAGGATCAAACCCAGTACCTCTCATGTGCAAAGCAAGTGCTCTACCACTGAGCCACAACCTCAGCCCCCCAAATGATTTTTCTACTGATTCTCTCCACTACACACAATTTGGTTACTTTATTTAGCTCTCTTTCCACCTCCATGTCCAATATATAGTTAATGCTTGAGAAATATACACTGAATAGGACCACCAATAACAAGACATCATTGGGGGGTGGGATTATGGGCTCACCTTTAAAATAAGAATTTTAACTATTTTCATTCCCTCATTTTCTGTTAAGTCTTTACTATTTTCAAATATAATAATCAATGAAAGAGATGTTTCAGTAAGCCATGATCATTACTTAAAAAAACAGAAATACATTAATTATTTTTTCTTTTCTTTTGTCATACTGGGGATTAAACCTAGAGGCACTTTAACACTGAGCCGTATCTTCAGCTCTTTTTGTTTCTTATTTTGAGACAGGGTCTTACTAAGTTGCTGAGGCTGGCTTTTAGCTTGGGATCCTCCTGCTTCAGCTTCTCAAGTTTCTGGGATTAGAGGAATGTGCCACTGCATCCAGCCCTAGATTTTTTTGTTTGTTTAATTTTGTTTTAGACAGTCTTGCKAAATTGCCCAGGCTGACCTGAAACTTGCAATTCTCCTGTCTCAGACTCCTGAGAAGTTGGGATAATAGGCATATGCCACCAAGCCCAGCAAAGCATTCACTCTTTTTTTTTTTAGTTGTAGTTGGACACAATACCTTTATTTTTATGTGGTGCTGAGGATGGAACCCAGGGCCTCACACGCGCTATGCAAGCACTCTACTGCTGAGCCACAACCCCAGCCCCAAAGCATTCATTCTTAATGCCAATTCCATATCATATAATTCAATTTATGTTTGAAGAGTACAAAAAGAATCTGCAAAGAATCCATTATATTTGATTCATTAGGCCACCTTCCGAGAGCATCAATGACCAAGGTAGTCAAAGTGTGAAACAATCTCAACTCTATAATTTTTTTCAAACATTCATTCCTTGCCTGTAGAAACTCCTTAAAATAAAACATAACAAGTTACGAGTAACTGAGGTTATTTTAAAAACTTGTGTCTTATTCTAATCAGCACAATATATAATACCTCTGAAAGTTCAAGGAGATCATCTGTTCTTCTATCCCTTTCTTTGCCTGAGAAATTCTTTTCCTTTGCCTCAAGTATTGACATTTTCCTCCTGAGTAATCCATTGCTTCCACTGCCCAGGCGGAGTCGAGCTGACACTTCTTCGGATAGGTCAGGCTCCATTCGGTGTCCCCTCCTCTGATCAAAAGTTTCTATATTTTATTGATATGCTTGATACTTGAACACATTACATATTTTCCACAGGAAATAATATATAAAACAGTGTCATTATCTTAAAAGAAAAGAGAACTAGCAGATCCTCCAAGTGAATAAAGTAGATTTAGCAGAGCTGTCGTTCTGGCGAGATAGAACAAAGAAGCTCTAKAGTTAAGGCTCAGAGACACTTCAATTACAAACCATAGAAAAGAATGCTCACCACTTTCCCTTAAAGTAGCAAGATAAGTAATTTCAGTTTTTCTATCCCAATTGAAATTAACGTGGGCTGGGGATGTGGCTCAAGCGGTAGCGCGCTCGCCTGGCATGCGTGCGGCCCGGGTTTGATCCTCAGCACCACATACCAACAAAGATGTTGTGTCCACCGAGAACTAAAAAAATAAATATTAAAAAATTCTCTCTCTCTCTCCTCTCTCCTCTCACTCTCTCTTTAAAAAAAAAAAATAAAAATAAAAAAAATAAAAAAAATAAAAAATTCTCTCTCAAAAAGAAAAAAAGAAATTAATGTGTTAATTTTTTTTAAGTTTTAAAGAGTGACCTAAAAATCCCATCAGTGAGAACAAACTACAGCTACCCTTATGCTATTTCATCAAGTAATTATAGGGGCTGGAGTTGCAGTTCAATGGTAGAGCACTTGCCTATCATGTGTGAGGCACTGGGTTCAATTCTTAGCACCACATATAAATAAATAAACAGATAGATAGATAGATAGATAGATAGATAGATAGATAGATAAAATAAAGGTACTGTGTTCAACTACAACTAAAAATATCTTTTTTTAAAAAGTAATTACAGGACTGGGGTTGTGGCTCAGTTGGTAAAGCGCTTGCCTAGCACATGTGAGGCACTAAATTTGATCCTCAGCACCACATAAAAATAAAGGCATTGTATCTGTCTACAACTAAAAATAATTTTTAAAAGTAATTATATATTACATAAAAATGAATAAAATAGGAAGGTTAAGCTGACCACCAATAACCAATAATATAACCAACCATGCCTACATAAGGAGCCTCCATCAAAGCCCAAAGATTGGGTTCAGGCAGCTTCTGTATGGCTGACCACATGCAAAAATTTGGAGTGGCATGACCACAAAGAGCATGGAAGTTCTACACCTATGCATCTCTTTCATCTGGTAGTTTATCCTTTGTAATACTGTTTATTGAAAAATGAGTAAACATGGGGGAAAATAAAAATGTACAAGTCAGTAATGCACCTCTTTAATTAATAACTACATTCAATTCAACAAAAAGAATTCTGCCAGCACCCCAGAAACTATGACAAGCTTTTTCCCTATTATAACTCTATGTAAACCTTAATATTAGATTTAAGTCATCTAGTAGGAGAAGTATTTTTAAAATAGRAAATTTATTTAGAAATAGAGTTTTGGATTAAAACCACCAGTCCTAAAACCCCTAGCCAGTATTCTTCATTCCAGCCAACTGTCAGGTATATTAATCCTTCCCTCTGGTTCAGCAAAGATGGAAGAAGGATATTATTTCCTAGGCAAGTTCCAAATACCTCCACTTTGTCCTCTCATGTTTAGTTCCCTTCTTCTTTCAGATTTTGCTCCACAGATAAAAACTGACAAACACAAAAGACTCTACTCTGAATCACTGAAAATGGAGAACTTAGAAAAAGGAAAGTTCTAAGATTTATGATGTAAGACCATGACTTAGCCTTTTAATTACTGGGGAAACCAAACTTGACTACAACTGATTAACACAAAGCAGTCACCTATGCTTTTATAATTTTATGTATCTAAATTGTGAAATAACCTAAAACTTCAAGTTTGGATCTAATTTAGAAACACATCTCTTTTGGACATTGAATGTTTATCAAAATAGTGTGCCATTATTAAAAATGTTATTACTGCTATGGAGATCACTGAAACACTTTTTATTCCTAAACTTATRTAGAAATATAAAATCGGATTAAGCATTAGACTGCTAATATTTTCAAGTAAATCTGAAACCTTGACTCTGAAAACAAACTTCTGAAATATCTTTCCTAGAGACTTGTATGTTTTTTAAAGTTCTCCAAAAGATGGAATACAATACAGATAAGGGTTGGTATGAAGTCAGGCTGGTCTCTCATAAAGAAAGGTGACTGCTGAAAATATAAAAATCAGCAAGATATATACAAAAAGTTGTATATCTTCAAAGCTTCTTGCTTTTTGAAAGAAAGTAACAGAACAGAAATCAAAGTAATATATGCCTTCTATCTTATTTTACAAAGGTATCAAAACATAAATCCAGTGAATTGAAGAACATATATAAAACTTACACCTTCATTTTCAAGTCTGATTCCCACCATCTTTTCTGTATCAGAAATTTTCCCTTTTGAACACCTGAGGGGGGAAAAAAAATTAAGAGACTACAGACTTCTGCTAGATAATTTTAACTTGGTCCATATTAGACTACTTTTAGAAATGATTAATTTATAAACAAAAAATCATCTGGATACACAATCCTCTATACCAGTGGTCAGTAATCTTTCTAAAAAGGACCAGATAGTAAACACTTCAGGCTTGGTAGATTTTATAGCTTCCATCACATCTTCTCAACTCTACCACGATAGTTTAAAAGCAGGAACAGATAGGATGTAAATGAATGAGCATTAACATGTTCCAATAAAACTTTACCTGTTAAAAAAAAGCAGGGCTGGCTTGTGGCTCAGTGGTAGAGCACCTGCCTAGCATGTGTGGGGCCCTGGATTCGATCCTCAGCACCACATAAAAATAAATAAAAATAAAGGTATTGTATCTAATTACAACTAAAAAAAATTTTTTTTAAATAATAAAAAAAATAAAAAATTAAAAAAAAGCAGGTGGGCCAGAACTGGCCTGGTCCCTAGGCCATAGTCCACAAACTCAGATACAAAGAAACTATATCTAAAATCCTAAGACATACAGAATTACCTTCACTGGTCTGAGAGATGCTCATTACTAAATATGCCGCCTTGTCCACAATCCTAAGCAGCAGCTACCTTTCCAAGTCCTAATGCCTAGGAGATTAAGGGCACACTCCAAAATCAGGCTATTGCATGATTCAAGAGCTACTTATGGAAATGGACATGGTGGTGCTTACCTATAATCACCGTTACTTGGGAGGGTGAGGCAAGAGGATTGCATGTTTGGAGCCAGACTTGATAATTTATCAAGACCCTGTCTCAAAATACAATTTAAAACGGGGCTGGGTGCCGCAGTCTGGCTGGGCACAAAATAACCAAGCCRCCATGAGGCACTTGTAGATTCAAACAGGAACTCCTTTATTGCCCGAACTCCACCGGAACTCCACCAGCACACCACGTGCACTCCCCAGGAACTCTCCCAGCTCTGGGCTCCGCAGAACTCAACGAGAACTCAAAAGTAGTGGGCGCCCGAGGCAGCAGGAGCCGCCCTATTGCTGGACAGCAGGGGTCTATATACAACTGAATACACAGCCTGTTTCAACTCAGCATCATCCAGTCACAGCAATTATACACAGCTTAACTTAATTATCATCATCTTAATGGCTCGMTGATGTCACCTCTCAACCACTCCTTCTGGCAAAAAGCTAGTTGCCATCCTGACTAGGCTGTGGCTCTCAACAGCTGGGTGAGTTAGCTCAGTGGTCAAGCATTTGCCTAGCATTCACAAGGTCCTGGGTTTAATCTCCAATACTCACCCCCACCACATACAGCTATTTATATACATGTACATATATGCCTGACCAGCTACCAGAGTTGAAGACAATTAACAATTTCCTCAAACCTAGCTGCTCATAACCTTATAAAGTGAGAAAATACACAAGAAAACAGAATTAAATGAACAATGTACCTCTTTTCACTTCTCATTGGACATAGAGGTCCTCTGGTTTCAGCAACTCTATCTGTGGGGATGGTAAAGAAAAGATTAAATGTTTCCTTTACTTCAATCACAGGCTAGAATTTCAATTTCCAGTTTTAAAGTATCAGAACATTCATTTACTCTGAAACACTGAAGTGAACTCTAAAGATACCAGCCTCCTCACAAACTAAGTAGTCTAAAATTGCATCAAACTAATCTTTAGCATAGGCTGACTGATAATAGTTCATTTGATAAATTATAATTTAGTATCATTCAGTAGACAGTTGATGTGAAATATAGGCAGTTAACATAAAGAGTATAAGTAAATTAATTTTATATTCATAAAATATATTCATAAAAAAGCCTCGTATTCTATGAATCAAATTCATCTTGAAACAGCTTTTTAAAAAATGAAACTCCTGGTACTAATAAGTATCAGTCAATGTCTTGAGGTTTAACAATATTTAAAGGCTTGGGACATCATCTGCCACTTGTATGCCAATTTTCAACCTCATAGGCACACTCTAACATGAACTAAGGTCCATACATTAAGACAGAGCTAGATCTGGGAACTCACATTGTTTTGGAAAAAACTGAGTTGCTCTGACTCCGTGATTCTGCTCCTCCCCCCAGGCTTTGGTCTTTAATGTGTCCATCTGACTTCTTTGAGAACTTAAAAACACAAAAAGCAAGGAAGATCAGATACAAAAGGAAAGGCTACCTTAAATATTCATTACCTCTGTCTGACAAGATTCTCCAAAGGGACTACCTTTTAACATCTCACAACAACAAAGAYGCAGCAACACAGTAGCATCTGGGACTTGGATAAAAGCAATCTAATCTTGATTCCAGTGTTTCAGCCAAACTCTCTAACCTCCATTTTCTGTATTTGTAGACTAGATGTTCTCTGCTGGGCACACTGGTGCACACCTTATAATCCCAGCCACTTTGAAGGCTAAAGTAGAAAGATTGAAAGTTCCAGGCCAGCTTTAGCAATTCAGTAAGATTCTGTTTCAAAAGAAAAAAATAAAAAGGGTTGGGGATTGCCAGGTGCAGTGGTGCACACCTGTAATCCTAGCAGCTTGGGAGGCTGAGGCAGGAGGGTTTCGAGTTCAAAGCCAGCCCTCAGCAAAATCGAGGCACCAAGCAACTCAGTGAAACTCTGTCTCTAAATAAAATACAAAATAAAGCTGAGGATGTGGCTCAGTGGTTGACTGCCCCTGAGTTCAATCCTTAGTACCAAAAAAGAAAAAAAAAAAAAAAAGATTGGGGGTTGTCAATGGTAGGTATTACCCCTGGATTCAATACCAACACACACACACACACACACACAAAAAAACCTAGATGTTCTCTATTCCTAGTGCCACCTTGACTAAAAGAAAATTCTATCTGCTTACTCAGATTAAAAGATAAAAAAGGGCTGCAGGCTATAGCATGGTGGTAGAGCACAGCATGCATGAGGCTTCAGGTTCAATTCCCAGAACCACAAAATAAATAATAAATAAATAAAAGATGAAACAATTTCAACTATATATTAAAACAAAACAAAACAAAAAACTCTAAAGCAATACATTAAAAGCAGGAACCTAAAAAAACAAAACAGTTTTGAGAATTTTGCCAAAATGACAAAGCCAGTAGTTGTTATCAAGCCTATTGCTGTTTTTTTTCAGTGGCTAGTCAAAAYGGAGAACATACTAACATTCTTAAGAGAATTAAAACACAAGAAAACAAAACATGTTCACAATCAAAGTTAAAATTCTTAATGAATTTATTATTTCTGGCTTTATTTTTTTTTTTTTAATATTTATTTTTTAGTTCTCGGCGGACACAACATCTTTGTTGGTATGTGGTGCTGAGGATCGAACCCGGGCCGCACGCATGCCAGGCRAGCGCGCTACCGCTTGAGCCACATCCCCAGCCCCTATTTCTGGCTTTAACAAGCTAATTAGTCCTATGACTCTTTCTCCTTCAATTTGCTGCCACATGTAATTTGTGGAATCTGTGTTTTCATACAACCTGTTAGATTTACCAAGTGAATCTCAATCCTGAGCTCACACATTTTTGTCCTCYTATCACAAGCCAGACATCTCCTTCTGCCACTCTAGTTTATTTAATTAACAAGCAATCTTATAAGGAAAATCCTTATGACTTTGGTGACTTTAATCTTATCTCTAAAGTAGAGGGTTTCCAAGAATGCTAAAATACAATCCATGAGATGCTTCAGGGAGTATGTATGTGTGTCTTGCAGAAGGGGGTAAGGCTCGGGGCAGAAGGAAAGAAAAAAACAAGACTTGAGGAAGTGAAGGAGAGAAAAAGGAAGAAGAAAATAGAAATGGGTGAKCAGAAGAGAAGAAGCAGGGGAAAAAAAAGGCAGAAAGAGAGAGAGATTATGGAAAAAATGTATGTGTTGGGAAGGCTGGAAAACTGCCCTTGGAAACTGACTTCAACCAGTAATCCACTTTTCTAGATTAGAAGTTCAAGTAAGAGTTCACTTGGACAAAAGATTCTACAGCTAACAGAAGACTCAAAAAACACTGTTCTATATAATGCCTTATTAGATATAATGTCCAGGCAAATTGCAGTGTTAAACTTTTTTTGTTCTGAGGAGGAACCTGTCCCATCAATCTCTCTCCAAAAACAAAGAAAAAAAATGTCTAACAAAGAAAGCATTTGTCTTTTAATTTTTACCTGTGATGATGTGAAATCACAGGTGAGATAGAGTTTCCATGACCACCTTCTTTAAGTCGCTCCAATAATCTTCGGTACTTCTCTCTTTCCTCTTTTTGAACACCCTGAATAAACAAAAGCAGGGTAGATAAATACTAACACATTAAACGTAAAAGCAAATCATAATCAGAGGTCAAATGCAGCCCTAAGGATGCATTTTATTTGCCATCACAATGTTTTTAAAGTTTCTTGAATTAGCCATAAACTTTATTAATTTTTCAAAAAGTCCAAAAACCCGGCCTCTTTTGAAAAATTAGATCATCAGCCTAGAGCTATATAGCACTATTCCCTTTAGATGGGCCATTTGCTCTCCATCTCATTTCACTCATTTAGCCATTTGCTAAATCTTAATGGCATCTGAGTTKTTGAATGAATTAGATTGAACAAAATTGGGTTAACTGAAAAAAAAGATTAGCAGAAATAATTCACTTGCAAAATCAGAATCTGTAGCTTCCAAAATGGAACTGGTTTCTGTAAAATCACAAATGGCCTTTTACTGGCCACATCCAATGTATTTTTTCAGCCTTTATATTATAAAGATCTCCCTTCAGCATTTCACCACCAGCTGACCTCGCCTTGCCTTCCTAGACAATAAACTCCTCTGATTCTTCTTTTCTTTTCAGTTTCCTCTGAAGGTTATTCCTTTTCTGCCTGCCATAAATGCCGATGGTTTTGCCCATATTGTTTCTCACGCTACGTTCTTTCTTTGAATAATCTCATCAGCTCCCCTGATTTGAAAAAACATCAATTGCAGAAAATTCAAAAATGTGTCTCTAACCCTGCCTTCTTCTCAAAACTCCCATCACCTATATCCAAGTGTCTACAGGAGAGGTCTTCTTGCATGTTGCACAGGCACTTTAAACAATGTCCAAAACTGAAGTCATCATCTTCCCCCTAAACACATAGGGTATCTTKGTCAGTGACACGAATTTATCCAAGACTGAAATCTGGGACTTAGGCTCTTCCCTCTATGTTATATAACACTTAATCAATTAAAAAAAAAAAGTCCTTGYTAATGTTACCTATCACTATTTCTAGAATATATCTTCTCTGTCTATCCCACAGACATTTACTTATTAATYCTCTCTCTAGTTTCTCTAAGAGACTGAAGTCTTTAACATTTCTTCTTAAAGTTCCCTCAGAGACTGTGGTCCACTCTTCTCTCTGCCTAAAAGTTTGCTGAAATACAATTTATCTAAAAACTCCTAGAGGGCAAAGACCACATTTTACTCAAGTTTGAATATCTCACAACTATCATATCATAATATCTCAGACCCAAATAAATCCCTTTTGATGAACTAAACAATTCACTCAGAAAACTATCTAGCAAATTGAAATAGCTAATGGTCCTGGAATGCCAAATACAGAAATAATTCTAAATTTTCCTASACCCAGTAAAGACCTCAAGAGAGAAATGAAGAGAAAAATGTCTCTTCATCATGCTAAATGCTCTGAAAGAGGAAGGAAAAAGCTGAGAAGCACACCATTTACTCTCTTACTAAGTCTCAGTTCTCAGCAAATAAAAGAAACAGAATAATTCAGGCACTCAAAAAAAATCTATGATTTTATCTCTTCCTAATATGATTCCTTTTCCTTCTTTGTAGGGAAAAAACTATATCTGAAAATTGACTCAATTATTTACTCCAAATTATCTCTAGAAGAACGTATACAGTAACAGTCATTGCTTGCTAAGAGTTAAACAGGGTGGTAGAAGCCAGGTATGGAAGGCATGCTGGGAAATGTATAGCCATTGTACCCACTTTCGTACCTTTAGTATTCTGCACCATAGTACACATATCATTCATCACCCAAAATATTATTTATTTATTTATTTTTAAAAGAATCCAGGCTAAAAGGGCTTACCTCCTCCACGGTACAATGGGGACGTCTCAGACCCTTGCCACCCTCTTCAGAAATCATTTCTGTTACAGCCTGTTCCTGAGGTTTCCACAATAAGGAACTCTCTGGATTGGTCTTGCTATGGCGACGGCCGCCTGGTCTTCTATTATAGCCTTCTGAGTTTAGAGTAAAGCTGGCAGAGAAAAGAAGAAAAAGAATGTATCACAAAACTGCCTAGAGTGGTAGAACTCAAGCTCCTATACCAGCCTGTGATTATGCTGTCCTAGCTTAAGCTTGCTACTTGACAGAAAATTACCATTTGTAAAAGTTAGATCTATCTAGATACAGTTACCCGAGCATTCCACTAGAGAATGTGTATTTCCAGTCACAAGGGCTGTCACATGAAAGCTTTCTTCCTCATGACCAATCATCCAACCCCAAACCCAGGTTTAGGTCCTACTGCATGCAACCCCATAACACCCATATTATACTTTTCCTTTAGTCACTGGGCACCACAAAAATTAATTATTGGTTTGACTATTTAATGTCTCCATACCACATTAYGTCTTAACCACACTATGTCATAAAGCCTACGGAGAGATTATATCCTTTTATCATTATATCCAAGTACAGGATCTAAGCCAAGAGCCACTCAAATAATCTGAATGATAAATTAATAAATATTAGGCTAGGCACAGATGCTGTGCACCTAGAGTCCCAGTCACTTGGGAGGCTAAGGGAGGAGGACTACTTCAGCCCAGGAGTCCAAGGCCAACCCAGGCAACATAGCAAGACCCTTTCTCAAAAAAAAAAAAAAAAGTAAATTAATAAATGCTAAAGAAATTGAAGGCATGGAAAACTTCTTGAGTCATTGTGCTAGTAAAAGTTATCTGCTTCTCCTACCATTACCAATAATGAAACTGATTTAACTTGCCCCCCATTTTGAAAAGAATACAATGTCACTTATATAACACTACTACAAAAACACTACACAATCTGAAGTAAATCTTGAGTAAACATCAGACAAAATTAAAACACTAGGTAGACGCAATGGCACATGCTTATAATCCAAGCAACTGAAGAGGCTGAGGCAGGAGGATTGCAAGACCCTCAGCAATTTATTAAAACCTGTTTAAAAAAAAAAAAAAAAGAACCAGGGATGTAGCTCAGTGGTATAAACCACCCCTGAGTTCAATTCCCAGTACTTTAAAATTAAAATTAAAATGCCACTAAAGACAAAGACACTCTAAAAGGAGGTGTTCCAAATTAAAGTACATCAAAGAGACATGAAAAACAAATGCAATACATAATCTAGCACTGGATCTCGGTTCAGGTAGGGAAAAAAAAGCTATAGATCATATGATAAAATTATAGCAATGTTAAATTTTCTGATTTCATAACCTGTTTATGTAAATCAAAGTTCTCATACTTAAGAAACAACTCAAGAACTTTGGATTCAGGGGCAAGGTTATTTACCTAATAGAGTTTCAAAATACATGGAACAAAAATTSACATACATGGAAGGAAAAATAGAAAAATACAAATTACAATAGAAAACTTAAAGAGTCACTCTTCACTCATCAATCAGTAAAGTAGAAAAATCAGTAAAGTCAAATGTATGATATGTCAAGATCATTATACTGTCATGTGTAACTAATTAAAGCAAATAAAAAAAATCAGTAAAGTCTATAAATCCTATCAGTTGATTTGACCTAATTGACATTTACAGAACACCCTATCCAACAACAGCAGAATATAATACATTCTTTTCAAGTGTACAAGGAATATCATCCAAATAGACCTTATTCTACACCAAAAACACAAACACCAAATTTAAAAGAACTAAAATTATACAAAAATAGTCTCTGACAATAAAAGAATTAAACTAGAAATCAGTAACATGACAATATCTGAAGTGTCCCAAATATTTGGAAATTAAACAACATACTTCTAAATAAAACAGATTAGAAAATATTTTAAATCAAATAAAAATGAAAACCTACATTTCAAAATTTGGGAGATGCAGCTAAAGCAGTGTTTGTAAGGAAACTGATAACATTAAAATGCTTAGAGAAATAAATTCACTTTTAAATATTTATCGCCCAAGAACAAGAACATCTCTTACCTAATAATACAATCATCAAATTTAAATTTCTCTGAAGCTATTAAAAATAYCCATCACAGGRCTGGGGCTGTAGTTCAGTGGCAAAGCGCTTGCCTAGCATGCCTGGGGCACTGGGTTCGATCCTTCCTCAGCACCACATAAAAATTAACAAATAAAATAAAGGAATTCTTTCTATTTACAGCTACAAAACAAAAATTTWAAAAAATATATATCCTTCACAGAATTCTAGGATCTAATTCAAGATCTTGTGTTGCATTTTGTTGTCATACATCTTTGTTCTCCACTAATCTGAAAAGTCTTCATCTTTTTAATAGAGTATACAGATCTATTATTGATAGAATGAACTTTAATTTCAGTCTGACTCATTTTCTCACAGGTAGATTCAAATTATTGGTTTTTGCAGAAATAATACATTAAATGATGGCTTTCTCACTGCAGTATATCTGGGGGCCATGTCAGTTGGTCTCACTTTTGGTGATTTAACTTTGATCCTTTTTGTTAAGGATGTGTCAGACAGGTTTCTCTAATATTTTTCCCTTTAAAATTAGTAAATAATCTGTTGTGAGATRTTTTGAGTTTATATAAATATCCCATACCTCATCAAACTTTTACTAACTAGTTTTAGCTTGAGATTCCCATTCACATCAATTATTACTGATAATCACAAAATGGTGAATTCTCTAATTTTATCATTCTTTCTGTGCTTATAGTAGGCATTCTATTACAAAGATGATCCTCTCTACATAATATAGATTTACTTACTTATATCTATATTCCTGTCTTCATTCATTTTGATACTTAAACTGTCCCCAGTTTGGCCAGTGAAGTTTCCTCTTTGGTTGGCATTTCAACAGTCTTTGAGCCCTCCTTTCTTTCTGGCACAAGATAATMCAGTCTCACTGTGTATTTTCCTCCTAGCCCTAGTCATTCATCCAACCCCAGAGGGCCACAGGTTTTAGTTAGTGTCTCACTCTTAAATAAGTGGACAGTCAAGGATTATCAGGTATTTGAATAAAGACTCTTCTTAACTTCAAAGGTAAGGYCAAAATAAACCAAAAAGACCACTCAAAGGAAACAAATAAAGCAGGCACAAGAAATTTCAAAACAATATTGAGATAAGATATTTTGCATCTTTATAATAAGAACAAGATATCTGGCAAAAGAAACAAACTTGAAATGGGTAGGAAGAGGAGGACTCTTTCAACTTAAAATCTGTGACAGCTTAGAAAAAAATCAGTAAAAAATGGTTTTGAAAAGAGAAAATAGCCAAGTACAGTGGTGCATGCCTGTAATCCCAGCAGCTAAGGAGGCTGGATCATGAGTTGGATCATGAGTTCAAAGCCAGCCTCAGCAACTTGAGGCTCTAAGCAACTTAGCAAGATGCTGTCTCCAAATAAAAAATTAAAAAGGGCTGAGGATGTGGCTCAGTGGTTAAGTGTCCCTGTGTTCAATCCCAGATCCCCCCCTCACCAAGAAAAAAGTAAAAAAAAAAAAAAAAAAGAGAGAGAAAGTGAAGTCAAGCTTGGTGGCATATGTCTGTTAATCCAGCCTCTTGGGTGGCTGAAGAAGGAGATCAGTAAATTCAAGGACATCCTGGGCAACTTAAGAGAGACCCTTTCTCAAAATAAAAAATAAAAGCCAGGTATAGTGGAGTACACCTGAAATTCCAGTGACTCAGGAGGCTGAGGCAGGAGGATTGTAGGTTCAATACTAGCCCCAGCAATTCAGCAAGGTCCTAAGTAACTTAGTGAGTATCTGTCTCAAAATAAAAAATAAAAGGGCTGGGTAAAAATGGGAAAGCCCCCCATCGATCCCTAAAATAAATAAATAGATAGATAGATAGATAGATAAATAAAAATAAAAATAAAAAATAAAAATAAATAAGAAGGGCTGTAATATGTCTCAGCGATAGACACTTATCTAACCTGTGGTGTAAGTCCCCAGTATACCCTCTGACCCGACCCCGCCACACACACACACACACACACACACACACACACACACACACACTCTCTCTCTCTCTAAAAATCAGATCAGATCACGATATGGGCATATATAACTCAAACTCAGTTCAAGTCTCTTAATTAGCTATATAATATTCAGCAACTTACTAACCTAAGAGTACTTCCTTAGCTATGTCCCATAGTATAAGAGTGAAAATGCGTAGTAAAAGAAAAGACTTAATAATTGCTAGGTCTCCCCCCACAGAAAGGCAGAATTTAACACTTACCCAAAGGAAGGCAGGACTCTACGTGGTTGATCTCGGGTTACTGTCACTCTGATCTTTGGATAGTCACTTATTCCATTAGGAGATTTATTACCTATTTGAAGAATGTATTTGTATTATGAAAGAAAAAGAAAACTTGTGAACACATTGAACTATGACAGGAATTTGTGAGCAATTTACATTTAACTGAATAACTTGTTTTTTCAAATTCTATTAATAGACGGCACAGAAAACCAGAATAAACATTGTAAAATGTTAAAGCAAAGTAATAGGAGAGGCTGGGGATGAAGCTCAATGGCAGAGCACTTTGGCTAGCAGTGCATGTGGCCTTAGATTTGGTCCCCCAGCATCACAAAAGAAATAATAACAAATTATTTAATACTCAAACATTATGAACAGATTAAATTGAATTTAAATTAACTTTTTAAAATGATATATATGACTTCAAAGAATTAACAACTTGGGCTAGAGATGTAGTTCAGTGGTAGACTGCTTGCCTAGCATACCTGAGGCCCTAAATTCACTCTCTAGCACCTCAAAAAACGAAAAAAAGGGGGGGGGGAGAAAGAAAGAAAAGAAACATCTTTGTTCCAAGTCCTCTAGAACTAGATTCTCAGCTGCCACAGCAGTATCCATTTACCTTTGCTCTTCTTTGCCACCAAAGGCACTTTACCATAAAATTTTGAGCCACGTAACTCTAATGTATTCATCATTTCCTTAGCTTCTTCCACTTTTGACTTTTGAACACACAGCTTCTCTACTGCTCATTTTCCCTAACTTCCTTCCACTGTTCTCAAACTTCACAACTCTACCAACATAGCAGACATCACAACTATTTCTTAGAACTATGGATTCCTCCCACTATTCCCCATCATATTGTTTTACATAGTATGGAAATAACTATAATTATATTTTTAGGGTTTAATGATGATATGAAAGCCTCCAATCCATAAAACTTCAAATTGCTCTCYAAATAGATGATGAATTTCTCAATGGCAAGAACAAGGTTTTATTATTCTATTATTTGTGATAATAACTTAGCACAGTGCTTGGCAAAGAGTAAGCTCTCAGGAATTTTTTATTAAATACACACACACACACACACTTATATATATACCCACATATGTATTATTATTTTTAGTTGTAGATGGACTCAACACCTTTATTTTGCATATTTAGTTTTTGGGGGGTTTTTTGGTTTTTTGAATGTGGTGCTGGGGATAGAGCCCAGTGCCTCATGCATGCTAGGCATGCGCTCTACCACTGAGCCACAACCCCAGCCCCAGGAAATTTTTATTCTAACAAACAACTCTTAATCTAAGTCACATTAAGGAGACTGATAATATAAGTAGAAAACACAACAGTAATTTCAACAACAATTCCAAAGGAAAGCTACAGGTAGAACATTCCTTATCCAAAAACCTGAATGCTGATGCTCAAAAAATTTATAGCTTCAGATTTTGGATTTTTGGCTCAGGGATGCTCAACTGGTTAAGTCCATGCAAATACTTTAAAATCTGAAAAACTCCAAAACCTGATAAATGTCTGGTCCCAAGTATTCCACATAAAAATACTTACTCAACCTGTATTTGCTTTTTAGAATGGTAGAGAGAATATGTCTTTATTCTCATCCCAATCCAAATCAGTGTTTTCCTTTCATATTCTCAAAACTTAGGGAAAAATGGGCAGAAGGAAGTACAGGGAAGCAAAAATATTTTTGAGCACCTCACCCAGTTTCAGCATGGTGTTCCAGGATCCAGAACCTGTCAGTTCACAAGATGAAGAGTTCGAAAATACCTTAAAACCAAACAGAATCAYCTCTGTAGCATCTAAATTTTGCAAATAAGTTTCTAATATGAAAAGATCACACTATTTGTAATTATTTTCTTAGCTGGCTCAAAGAATCAATGTCATCAAGATTAAAGGTTTAATTTGTCAAGATATACAAAATGATGTAAAAAATGACAATAGCAGGTTCTTCACACAAAAGCAATTATATTATTAATACTTTTTAAATGTTTTTAAATTATTAAATTTTTAATCTTTAATTTATTGATCTTTATCAAGAAACTTCTTGATCTTTATCACAGCTAATAAAGACACAAACATTTCTGGGAAGAAGTCATTTACATTAATTCTAAAAGCAAAAAAAWWWTTTTTTTCCTAAAATTTAACTTTACTGATTAAATACAAAGATCAGCAGCTGTTGGGGCTATGGGTGTAATTCAGTGGTAGAGCACATACTTAGCATGGATAAGGACATGGGTTCAATCTCAGCACCAAAAATACAAAACAGAACAAAAAAGRTCAGTATCCCCACTGACCTCTTCTGAAGGGGCCACATTCCGTGTTCCATTACAAGCAGAAGTCACCATAGGCTTTGTGGTCAGCTGGAATGGGAATCCAAATAAGCTGGCAGCATTGTAGAGACTGTTTTTCACTTGGTGAATAAAGCAATCTAGAAGATGTCAACAAACTTTAAATACAGAGTAATAAACTTCTAGGAAAAAAAGTTATATCTTGGAAAGAACCTCTCGCAATTTTTATTAAAAGTCCAACTTCCAAGCACTAAAATAAAAAGGTATATATAAAAATATTTTTTCTAAATGAATAACTGGAATTCAAGTATTGTGATTTTTAAACAAAATATCCAAGATGCTAGCAAAACATGGAACCATCATTTTAGCAAATCAGATTCACAAAGAAATGTGCTGAAATGGCAACTTTTAAAAGTGACTTCTCCAGAATACATAAAATGAATTTTTACCAGAGAGGTGAGAGCACTATTAAACAAGGATCATATGCCACTAGTTATGACAGAATCCTACAAGAAGCAGTCTCATTTCTCCCCTGATTTGTCTTTATTTCCCAGGCAGGTAACATTTGCTCTCAACAACTACTTACTAAGCCCTCATTCTATCTTGGCTAGGTGAAGAATAAAATATGAAACTCTTAAGCATCTATGGTGAAATAAGGCCATCCCTCTCTCTGCTGGATTAGATGTGTTCAAAGATCTGTTTTATCTCTTCCTGCCACCAAAAATAAAGACCACAAAATTAAGAAGAAAATAAATAAGGAGGAGGGGTAGATTTCAGTACTTTCCCACTTCCTCCTTTTATAATACTACCTTTTTCTCAATTCCTACACACGTATGTTTTCCACAGTTTTCTTTATATATCCTAATTAAGGGTACTTAAGGCAACAGTTTCTGCTTCAAAGCCCGCAATGGTGGCTTTAACCAATAAAAGCTCCAAAATATATAACTATAAAATAATTTTCAGAAAGATAGGGGAACAACTAAGCAAATGGGAGGATGTGATAGCCAGGTAAAGTAGAATCCAACTTGAAGTAATTTATTATACGATAATAGTTAAAAATATCAAAGTTTGCAAATGAGTTTTTTCTTATTTTACAATTCCAGGTTATTCCTACATTGCTGAAGGGTGCAATTTTTATTCTGCTATGAATATAAGTAAGAGAAAAATCATGTTAGGGATTGATGCTTAACCCATACTGTCATCTAGATACCAGAAAACAAGAGGTACCCCTTAATAACATAGTAAATAGTAGTCACTAAAAAGTACACATTTTGTCCGAAATTGGGGTATGACCTGAGATTAAGTCAAAAGATTGTACTGATGGTTTTAAAAAAGGAATGAAGGCAGTCCTGCCTCAACTGTAACATGGGAATAAGACTACCATATTTTCCTGAGATTAGGCTAAATTTATCTCTTATAATCCCTTTTAACTATAAARTCATGTGTCTGTGATTCTGAGATCCTTTCTTTTACCCTTGTTTCTTGCTTCATCTCAAAAGCAACCAAGAATTGTATTGTTCAACATACTAACAGGTAGGCAGGCAGATGTGGTTACCTAGTAATTTAATTAAAGTTAAATATTCAGTTAGTAGCCAGATATGGTAGCACACATATGTAGTTTCAGCTACTTGGGAGGCTAAGGCAGGAGGATCATAAGTTCAAGGCCAGTCCAGGTAACCTAGCAAGACTCTGTCTCAAAATAAAGTTTAAAAATGGCTGGGGTATAGCTCATAGGTAGAGAGCATGTGCCTAGTAAGTGCAAGGCTCTGGATTCAATCCTCAGCACTGGGGGGGGRGGGGGATTCAGTTTCTGAGTCAAATTAGCCATTTCAAGTGCTCAAGAACCATAATCATAGGAAGTTCTAGCATTTTATAGACCTTTAATAACTCCCTAACAAGTACTGCCTCTGCTACCCACCGAAACTTCCTCTTTGGTTTATTCCCTTCTATAGTAGTCTGCCACTCAAAAAATCATAGTACAAGCCAGGCATGGTGGCCCACACCTGAAATCCCAGTGACGTGGGAAACTGAGGCAGAAGGATCACAAGTTCAAGACCAGCCTGAGCAATTTAGTGAGATCCTGTCTCAAAATAAAATTTAAAAAGAACTGGGGATGTAGGAGCTTAGTGGTAAACACCCTTAGACTGAATCCCCAGTATAAAAACAAAAAGAAAGTCCTAATGCATATTTAATAAAAATGACAAGAATGGGTGATCCTTAACATAGAAGGCCATAAAATAAGTAATTACCACAAATAGTTCAGGAACCTTCTGTAATACCACCAACAAAGGTTTTTTTAAACTACATTCAAATACAAGCTAATATTTATTTATGCTTTTCTTTAAAGTTGACTCACTTTTTTTGCTTAAGTAAATGTACGTATGATAATTTTAAACTACCACTATAAATATAAAACCAACATCATATGACTTATAAAGACTATAACTTTCTTATTATATAATCATGATTCAAAGGTAACATGTTACAAATGTTATGTTCTTTAAAATCATTAACTAAATTGGTATCTATCCCATGCTTTGGGACATAATGTAATGAATACAGTAAAAATTCCTTTATTAAAAATCTCGTGATTTGCAGGGCGCAGTGGCACACACTTGTAATCCCAGAGGCTTGGGAGGTTGACACAGAAGGATTGCAAATTCAAAACCAGCCTCAGCAATGGCACGGCCCTAAGCAACTCAGTGAGACCCTATCTCCAAATAAAATATAAAAAAAGGGCTGGGGATATGGTTCAGTGGTTGAGTGCCCCTGAGTTCAATACCTAGTAATCCTCCCTCCTCCCAAAAACAAATCTCCTGTCATTTGACTTGTTTTCAGTCCATTTTTCCCCCCAGCTTTAATAACTATTGCCTAAATCTGCACAATTTGCCCATGCCTAGGTTGCTTTTCCTTCCTATTGATCTCTTTTGATATCCTACCTATCCATCTTATATTCTACATCCTTCCTCAAAAATTATGAGACTCAACCAGTTGAAAATTGGATACGATTTTGAAACTGCCTTTCTTATGTCATTTACCATGTCCTCATTGATATTAGTATTAATTATGTATTTTATTTTATACCCCTTGCCATGTAATCACATAGGCCCTTAAAAAAATAGAGAAGTTGTTTTACTAAATTTTTGTATTTCCTGTAGAACCTAACACATTTTCTGTAGAACCTAAGGGCTGGAGATGTACCTCAGAGGTAGAGTGCCTAGCATGTGTGAGATCCCCTGTACAGCCAAAAAAAAAAAAAAAAAAAAAAAATCAAAATATCTAAACAACTATCACATCTGGAATAGATCTAAATTCACATTACTGTTGAGAAAGAGTAGAATATAGTATTCTACTGAGGCCTTTTCCCTTTAACCAAGTTTTATTCTCTTCTAAACCTGAAGATATATAAAAATAAAAGATTTGTGACAACAAATTAGATCACTTCATTTAATCATCTGAACTTCATCACAGTTTGAAGTCATTTTTGCAATGCTTTTTTTTAAAGAAGGACTTAAAACTTCAAAATGCAAATTCCATAAATTCATTTATTTATCTGGAAAGATATACAAGTTCCTAGTAACAGTGGTTACCTCTGAAAATAACTGAATAGAAAAGGGACAGAAAAAAAAAAAAACTTTTCACTGAATACACTTTTTATCTTTTGAATTTTGTTCCATGAATGTTTTCCCATTAAAAATAATTTTGAAAAATTATGTTTAGTACCTAATCTTGGTCTTTTAGCAGGTATTTCATCAGAGTCCACTGTAGAAAACAGAGTGCTGAAAAAAAAGAAAAAAAAAAATATATATATATATAATCCATTTCTATAAATAAACTAAATAAATCCAAATCTATAAATAAACTTAACTAGTCAAGACTGGGATATAACTCAGGACTAAAGCTGTGTTTAGCATGCACAAGGCCCTGGATCAAAACTCAACACCAAAACAAAAAATATTACTGTTCTTATCATATCAAACATCCCTCTTTCATTCACTTTGTCATATAATGAGATCCAACTRATGTTTTAAAAGATAGTATCTTAAAATAGGCTGCTAGCATTTGAGGGTTTAACACTGTAGTTTCCACTATTTGAGAGACCCAAATTCTTTATCACATAATAATGAGTAATCTGGCTAAAATTCAAACAATAAATAATTTCCTTTTGAAAGATGACCCACCTGAAAAAAGCCATCTCTTATTTCAGTGACAACATAAGCAGCCTTAAAAGATAATTCCTAGCCAGGTATGGGGGTACAAGCCTATGAGTCCGGCTACTTGGGAGGCTAAGACAGGAAGATCGTAAGTTCTAGGCCAGCTTTAGTGAGAACCTGTCTAAATAAATAAAATTTAAAAGAGCTGGAGACATAGCACAGTGGTAGCTGCACCTCTGGGCACAATCCCAATACTGCGGGGGGGGGGGGGCAGCTCTTAGTAGAAAAAGGTGTTACATTTAACTGCATTTTTATAATGGGAATTATATTACAGTGGTAATAATAATTTSGAAATTCAGGGAAGTTTCTGGCCCTATATATCAAAAATATTAAAGGTTAATATATTAATTATCTTTCTGAATCCTTCACCTTAATCAGGCAGAAAGGAAGAATGAGTTGAAACCATATCCAATTTTATCAATGACCTGCATTCCAGACTTATGTATTAATCATTTTGCTCYCTTAAGCTACCCTCAAACCAACCCTTTGTCTACCTCTCTTGTCTTTGAGACTTAATTAAAACATGAAATTAGGCTGAGCATGGTGGTGCACATGCTATAAGCCCTATTACCTGGGAGGATGAAACAGGAGGATCTCAAATTGGAGGCCAGCCTCAGCAATTTAGGGAGACTTTGKCTCAAAACATAAAAAGGGTTGGGGTATAACTCAGTGGAATACACTCTAGGCCAGGCATTATGGTGCTCGCCTATAATCCCAGCTACTCAAGAGGCTGAGGCAGGACGATCTCAAGTTTGAAGCCAGCCTCCAGAACTTAGCAAAACCTGTCTCAGAATAAAAATTTTAAAAAGGCTAGTAARCCGCCCCTGGCTTCAATTCAACCCCTAGCACAGGAAGAAAAAGGAGTGGGGGAAGGAAGTAATTGACACTTGATCATCCAAAATTAGGAGGTATACAGAATGTTTCATYTTCTAGATTAATTCTTAGGTAAGGCATAATTCTTCGGCAAGCAAAAAGATATTATAAAATGAGAAGCAAGGGAGAAGATAATGAGCAAGAACGATCTGTAGTTTCTCTTTTATGAGAATTCACACTAGTGATTTTATTTAAAAGGAGGCAGGTACTTTTTTTCCCCCTTCATACACTAATTCTAAAGGAATTAGTTAGTTACATTTAACTGCATTTTTATAAACACCCTTCTCCTTCAGGCCCCAACACACACACACACACACACACACACACACACACACACACACACTGTCGACAGCTGTTTTAGAACAAGACAGCTGCTGTTTCTTGGTGCTAAGCGAACAGTACTTGCAGTCAAACGAGTTGGGGCAAGTTACCAATCTCACTTCCCTTAACTGTGCTAACTGCCCGCAGATGACACTTCGGAGTGTGCTTGTAAACAGAGGGCCACAATAAAGGCAGTAGTTCTTTAATTTTTAGTTTTTAGCTTAAGAGCAGTAAAATACGAGAAAGCCTCATTTGTTGTCAGTAACCAGCTTGGACTCTGACAAGAATATTAAAGATCCTATGAYCGACGACCACTCCAAAGACAAACAAGCTCCTTCCTTCCATCAAGAGCCGCGTTCCCAACACCTTGGCGGGAGCGACTACGTCACCAGGATACCAGCGACCCGCAGCTCCTGGGCTTCAGCCGAGCGGCCGGTTTAGGGGGAACAGGGCCTGCGGAGCTGGATGAACGCTCTCCTGACCGAGGAGCCGCGGTGGAGGAGGGCGAACAGCTAGGCCGGCACTCAGCCTCCTCTTCTCACCTGCTCGAGCGCCGCCTCTTCAGGAGAGCCCTGGCAGGGGGCACCGACCGGTCGCAGAAGCGGAAAATGGTGCCGAGAATCCTAACCAGCCATCTGTACATACCAGGCCGGAGCAGCAGCGGCGGCCGACACACCCCGAGACGCAAACCCCAGAGCTGTCGCCGCCGCTGCCGCCTTGGCCACCACCACCACCAAGGATCAGTCGCTGGCTTGTGACGCGATCCGTGGGCCCATAGATACAACGTTCTCTGGGCTAGGGAAAGCCCCCACCCGCCACCGCTCCCGACGTCACCTCCTCCCGCCCTACCGGAAAGCCTCATCCTCAATCTACGCACGCGCAACCTAGCACCGCCTTTTATCCTCGAGCCTAGCAACAAGAAAGCCTGCTAGACGGCAGGGTCCAATCGCTGACCAGACGGGAAGAGCGGTGGGCGGGACTTTCTCTTTGGCGGAGCCAATCCAAATCCGCCCGGGAGACAAGGCCCACGGAATGGAAGTGTCTCTGCTAGGCTCTGGAGGAAGAAGCATTCTGAAGTCGTGAGCGCAGTTGGAACCCAGCAAATGATTGTTGCTCAATAAAAATAGATCAGAGCAATTAACAAATGTTTACCGTATTAGGGGCCCTTTATTTTGCATATACCTGTGCCTCATATTTTACGTGCATTGTCACCATACCTCCTAGGAACCGAATGCGATAGGAAGTCTTACGCCCAGTTCATAAATAAGGAAAACGAGGCATAAAGAAATTAAATAACATTCCTCAAAACACAAAGCTAGTAGAAGCAATGTTGAAATTTGAGCCGGGGTCTGACTACTAGCACCAGTTTCACACCCTTGAATTCACACTACCTGGAAGAGGATTGTACATAGATAATTACAAATTACAATATAACTGACTGCTATGATAAAGGAGGAACGAAAACCACATGCTAGGGGAGAGAGGGAAAGGGCAGAACTCCTGAGGATGGCTTCACAGTAACGAGGATGAAAAGATACCTGTGGCTTTATAATACACTTGTCTCCTCCTCTGATCTGAGAGGGAGTAATTCTTAATACCCTTCCTGTAGAATCTAGAGGTCAAACTGTGCGTGGTAGAGCTGTCTTGTAATCCTAACTACCACTCTGGTGGCTAAGGCAGGAAGATTCCAAGGAGGCCAGTCAAGGCAATTTATGGAGACCCTGTCTCGGGAAACAAACAAAAAAGATGTGGTAGTGTGTGTCACAGGGTTCAATCCCAGTTACCACTAAATAAATACATAAATAAATCTAAAGGCCACACTTCTGATTATCAACTTTTGAACAAATTACACCCTATTTAACCCAATGTCTGCCCATAAACAATACAGGGAAACTTCAAAGGTTTTTTTGCTCCACAATAATTCACTGACTACTTTTTCTTGGCCTGTGATTCAGTGAAGAACAGGTTTCCAGACTTTATTGAACTTAACCCAGGTGACTGCCTGTCCAGCCTCCTTCTCTCAATAGCATTCTAGAATTCTGCCACATGTCACCCTGTTGTAGGGACAAATGAGGCAAGGCACCGAAGATAGCAGGAAATAGTTTTATTCAGAGGGCACAGCTTTTGCTGTAATCAATCAGTCCCCTGAACCCCAAATTCAGGTAGTATCAGAGTTTTATACCCAGCATGTAAGGGGAGGGGCTCAGAAGTTCACAGTCTGTAGAAGTTCACATAAAAGCAGCTTTTTCTTTTGCTGTTTTGGGCAAGTTAACCCTTCAGGGACAACACCTTTAGAAGGGGAGAGCTTTTTCTTCCTTTCCTTTCCTCTCCCTGCCAGCTGTTACCATGGAGCCCAATTGGTAACTTATCTTGAAAATGTAGACTTCTCTGTGAAGCCCAGCTCAAGGCCAAAGGCCTTGTTTGCCCATTTCTACAAACTACTATACTGGATACATTTGTGAAAAACTAGTAAGGGAGTGTTCAGCACCTGGAGTGCTGGTACCTTCTGGGCCAGTGGCTAAGTAAGACAGGGTGACATGAAAATAGGAAGTTTATCTACATTTAACTCTTTTGCAGAGACTCTTTTGCTAACAGTCCTAAAATCAGCCATGGTGAAGATTTCTGGAGAAGCCTAGTTAAGACTTTCCTATGGAGAAAGGGGGTGCCACTTCAACCTAACTAGAGTCACCACAATCCTGCCCTGAGAGGTGAAAGGCAGGTCTTAAGARGGTAGAAACCAATTCTAATGTGCAGACACTTCCCTTAATTTCCCTAACGATAGCTAACACCAACACATTACTGAAAGTTTAAAAAGGGAAGTTTTAAATTTATTCTTTTTCTCTCTGAAGCCTTGATAATGTTAGTCTATGTAATAAACCAGCAATAGACAGATTAAAAGGAAAAAGGGAAACATTTAATATATAAAAACATGGGAGCCATACACAAAATAGGAGACTCAAGAAGTGATAGAGAATTTAAGCTTAAATAGAGCTAAACAAGCTGGACAGGCATGGTGGCACATGCCTGTAATCCTAGCAGCTTAATGGCTGAGGCAGGAGGATAGTGAGTTCAAAGCCAGCCTCAGCAATGGTGAGGCACTTAGCAACTCAGTGAGACCCTTTCTCTAATAAAATCAAAATAAGGTCAGGGATGTGGATCAGTGGTCAAGTGCCCCTGAGTTCAATTCCCGGTACAACCCACCTCCACTCCCCCCACCCACGCCCCCACCCACACACACCACCCACCCCTGCAAAATAGAGCTAAACAAAGGGAAAGGGGCTTAGTGTCCAGATGAAAGGGAGGTGGGTGTCAACTGGCTAAGGAAGTTTGAGGGAAGGCTAGCTCAGAAAGTGAGGGTTGTCTTGTGTAGTAAAGTCTACTAGGTAATAGCCATGTATCAGATGCCTGTGTCACAGTGTGGTGTGTTTTACTGGGAATCAAACCCAGGGATTCACAAAGCTAGGCAAGTGCTCTACCATGAAATCTACTTCCCCAGCTCCTCAATCTCTTCTTGCYATGAAAATACCTTTCTTAGGCAGAAAAGGGGTTACCAAATAGAAAAATCTTTTTATATACATTTGCTGTTTACTTCACCAATGTAGATTTCCTTTATAAATGCAAACTCCTCTTACAAAAGGGCCAGCTTTTAGAGTTAATCCTGTCGGCTGTTTCTCCAAATAGCTATCTTAAAATATGCCAAAGAAATACATTTCAGATGGGGCTGGAGTTGTGGCTCAATGATAGAGAGCTTGCCTAGCATGTGCAGGGTGCTGGGTTCCATCCTCAGCATCACAGAAAAATAAAATAAAGGTATTGT